AAAAGCTACAAGTAATGGCATAGTAACATATTGGATATCTCAAATCTATCGACTAGGTGTATGGTGTCAAGTTAGCATTTCATACCATTTTTTCTTAAAAAACGAGAGCTAAAAATTTTTTCTTTCCACAACAAATTTTAAAGTTAAAAGCTACAATTAATGCCGTAGTAACATACTGTATATCTCAATTCTATCGACTAGGTGTATGGTGTCAAGTTAGCACTACATACCATTTTTTCTTAAAAAACGAGAGCTACAAATTTTTTCTTTCCACAACAAATTTTAAAGCTAAAAGCTACAATTAATGCCGTTATAACATTTTCAATATCTCAATTCTATCGACTAGGTGTATGGTGTCAAGTTAGCACTACATACCATTTTTTCTTGAAAAACGAAAGCTACAAATTTTTTCTTTCCACAACAAATTTTAAAGTTAAAAGCTACAATTAATGGCATAGTAACATATTGGATATCTCAATTCTATCGACTAGGTGTATGGTGTCAAGTTAGCACCACATACCATTTTTTCTTAAAAAACGAGAGCTACAAATTTACAACAAAAACACTACAATTAATGCCGTAAATAACTTTTCCAATTTCGAAAAGTGTAGTGCTAACTTGACACGTGCAATTTTTTATTAATTACATCAGATTTGCGCAGTTCATTCATTAAAAAAAATTTGGTCTCAAAGGAAAAGGCTTAGCGTTCAGATGTGCAACAAGGTAGTATATTTTCGAAGAGGGTTGCCTCCAATACGAAAAATTATAAGATGTGGGCTGTTCGTTGGACTAAATAGTGAGTCGTTAAATGAGATAAGGTCTCCAGATGTGCAATAAGGTTATATTTTTTTTAATAGAGTTGCCGACTGTCTAAAAAATTTTAAGATCCACATCGTTCGTTACATTAAATACATAAGATGTCAAATGAAAGGGATTGGCCATTAGGTGTGTAACAAGACTTTATTTTTTAATAGGGTTGCCACCTGCTACGTATATGTTCTTACTTATGTACATAATCAAAGCGTGGCGAAGCCGCGCGCTTACGAGGCCGGCTAGTTACTCCAATAACTTAACTTTTTTAATTTTTTTATACCTTTAAATTTAGATAGTACATACCGATCTTTAGAGAACATAGCAAACTATGTATGTATGTATGTCCCTCAGACCTTTTTCTGTTCGCCCATCCATCAGCGCCAGGCACTCATCATTTAACTCAAGTAGGAAGTAACAATATTTAAATTTAAAACTAATTCAAGAATGAATTAAATAGAATTATAATCTGAATTGGGATGGCGAATGCCTACGCTGACGAGAGTACATGATAACTTTAGATTATGGCTCTTTGGAATCTATCTTATTGGCAGTTGTGCCGGCGTTGCGATTCTTTTTAAAGTTGACGACGCCTCCACCGCAAAGCCTGTAGGCGTAAACCTGTACTGCATATCCAAAATTTGTTTAATGGATTTGAAAAATTTTTAATTTTGATGAAATTTTTTTAGTATTTCTTGAATTCTCCGGGGTTCTATATGAAATTGAAAAAAATTATTCTGCTGGTTTTTGCTGTTAAATGAACTAGTATATTTTTATAAAAAAAATAAGAAAAATTTGTTACGGAGAATATAAATCAACGTCAGAGTATTCATAATTTTTGACGCTGACTGTATGATATTGATAAAGGCATCCATGCCAAAAGGAATTTCGTACTCTTATCAATGACTATCAGGCATTTTCTGCAAATCTCACGATTTGAAATCTTTGCGATTTAGAAGACAATGGCAAAAATTGGCACTAAATAGGTGGGTAAATGATTTATTTCTAGTAGTTTCAATTTGTAATATTTATTATAAATATTCAAAAATTTTTAGCACATCGCACCGCTTTCAAATCGTAGAGTTTGCAAAACATGCCAGTACATCACTTTAAAAAGGCATACTTACATTTAATTTACATCCGTTTTAAGCTTTTCACTTCGTAGAAATGCTTCGACTGACGATAAATAAAATACAACGCACCTCCCAAACATTGATTTACTAATATTTTATTTAAGGTTTCACGCTGAAATAGACATTTAGTACATTTATAGGTATGTATGTATATACGTTTATGTGTATATGTATGCATGTATATAAAGATCGATTATGTGGTTTGTGTTAAATCCGTTTCCTCATGAAACTTCAATCATTTTGAAATTGCCTTAGACAACGTTGTCTGTAATATGTCATGTGAACTATTTACTGCTAGCGAACGGCAGTTTATTGCTGCAGCTATGTACAACATAAACAATAGGTTGGTCGCTCAAACGCCATATATGTACATACATATGTACAAGTATGTGATACAGCCCTCCAATTGACTCAAGACAAACAAATAACATTTATCGCATTATTCCTTTGCACCATCTGCACAGGATAAGCTCATCGCGTTTCATCCTTTGATTATTGTAATTAGTACTGATAAATTAAGGACTATTAAGCAATTTAATCGTATCTGAATTATTTGCCGAGAACATTTTTATATGTATTTCAATTTATGTATTTTAAATATTTACTATAGTTTTACTAAGATTGCTTTTGAATGTTGAATTTTATGTGTCAGGAATTTTTTGCCAGCAAATGCTTGTTACATTCCTTCTTTAAAATTCATACGCGGAGAAAATGGTTGACAAACACAAATAAGCTGTACTTTAATTGTGTTATGTTATATAATCGAAATCAACTTATATAATATACTGCAAAACTTTACTTTTAACTTGCAGTAAATATACAATGTTATTGACAAACGGCAAAAGATAAGTGAAAATATTTATTGAAGCAATAATGTTGCGCTTTTGCTTACAAATTAAGTTCTTGTTTTGTTAATTCTATTTTCATTATTTTAGCGGAAAATATCCAATTTATAACTGACATAAAGTGATCATATGCAAACATCTTTTGTCGAAGCTGTATTTGCTTTCATACTTTTACTGATTTTATATATAATTCTGTTCATTATATGTAACTGCCATTTTCATAACAAATTTTGTATCAATAAATTGTGTAGCAAAGTGAGTAAAAATTAATTTAAAAATTTCATTTGACTCAAATTTTAGATAAAAATATCGGAAATGTGCTTACAACTTTCTATTTTTTTTTTATAAATCGCTAATTTTTGTTTATTAAGTTACACTACGTATGGACAGTTATATAAACCATTTCTGTTAAATTATGTTTTATTGTGTTTATTTAAAATTTGGTTACTATTTTTTATTGCATTGCAATGTCAAATACTCAAACAGTTCATTAATTAACTTTAAAATCTGATTTACAAATCTCTGTAGTAGCAAATTTAAATAAACTCGCCCAGATTTTCACCAATATTATTAATCTAATTATTTGACGCAGATTTTTTACTTTGCTTTTGCTTCTTTCTTGTTTGCTTCCTTTGTAGCGGTCTTGTTAATTGTTTGTTTGTCTTTAGCATCCTGCAAATAAATGCGCCCAAAGCATGGTTTAAGAAAACAATAAAAATTTTCTTATTAAATATTCTCCATTTGTCATTTTGTTTAAAACAAGAATATTTAAATAGCATCAAATCAGCCATGTGAAGTGTTTGTATGTATGTATATCCTAAATTTATAGATTCCGAACGTTGCGCAAAAAAACTAGAACATTTCACGCTTTAGTAGCAATACGAACACTTACTAGACCATGGCAGTGATGTAATGCAATGATAACAACAGGAAATATACGTATTTGCATTAATTGTAGGCAATTTATTTTCAGGAATCTTTCAAGGTACGTATAACAGACTGATAGGTATTCTTTTATGCGTACAAAATAGATACGAATATCAAGAAACCATATGAATTTAACAATATAGCCCGTATCAAAAGAGTTTTAAAATAGATCTATTTAACGAAAATATTTGCTACTGATTGATTCACAGTTCCTACACTTGCTTGAATTGTTTCTAAAGAGGAAGCATATAGCTTTGCTTAAATATCCGAGCACTATGCCTTCATTTAAAACTCTTTCGATATGACTATGCATATTGTTTATAATAAAACATATAAAAAGTGTTATTGTTATCCCAAAAGCAAACTTTTCAAAGTCTTAAAAAAAATACTTTGAATTATTGAAAAGTCTCCGATGGGCGTAAATTCGTATGTGACTGTTTGGCGGTGCATGTGCATATTGAGCCTGATGAATAAAAACTAAGCAATGGCTTTTTCTATGATTACTGAATTTCTACGTAAATTTGTATAAATATATTTTCAAGCAATTACCTTTAGAAAAAGCAATTGCAGTAATTGCTAAATATCTTCAGCAATTGTTTATTTATGTGAGGAATTTCTCAATTTAGAATCAATAAAACTAGAATTTACTTTTGCAGGGTAGAATTTGCTTACGATTTTTTAAGTCTGCTGTACCTACGGTGACCATCCGTCCTGTATTATACGGGATAGACCTCTTTTTTGACCTATTATCCTGGTAATTTATTTATTTTATCTGGGATGACAAATGTTTTGTAATTCTTTAATGTCCTGTATTTGTCCCGTATTCGGCGTTCCGACGCCTTAACAGCTTATTAAAATGGCATGCCTATGAACGAGTTTTAAGTGATGTTGGTATATGATGGTAATTTTCTTTATAAACAATTATTTTCTAATCTGAATGCCTGTGATTCGAATCGAGGAATACATACAGTGGCCAAAATAGAAATTAGGACTCGTATGAAAGTAAAGCTCTTTTCCTAACAAAACCCATATGTATACGTAATAACGAATTTCCAACTTTGTGCAAAGAACTATAAAACTTAACTCTGCAATGTTTCGCCAAATTTCAAACTTTTTAATTAGAATCTTTAGAAAAAAATTTGGTTTGCAGTTTTGTAACTCATTAAAATTGAGTATAATAAAGTGCGAGTGGAAAGTGCTGCTCATTTGCTTCTCTTTCAAAAAAAAAATAATAATGGTCGAACATACTCACCTTGTATAAAAAAAGCCTTACACCGTCAACAAAAAAAAAATTGCAAAAAATTAGTGGTAAGCCTTACCGACTGAAAATTGTAATTTATTATACTAAAATTTCGAGAAAATTATTCTACAAATTTGTGATGTTACTATAAGGATACTATTTCAGGGAAAACAATATGAAAAAAATTTCCAAACTTATCTTTTGTCCCGTATTCGGCTCTCATAAATATGGTCACCTTAGCTATACCCCAAGCTAAATTTATGGAAATTAGTTTTCTTTGGATTTTTTTACTCTCGACAAGTAATAATATCGCAGCTTTTGACTATTCGTAAAGAAAAATATTATAATGCGCGAACGCTATGTCGATTGTCGTGAAAACGCCGAGTAGCTTGGTACCTTTGTTTTGGACGAGGTGCGTTATTGGCTTTTAAGAGGATGAAGTTGCTTTTGCGCACAATTTCCGGTCCAGGCTATCAAAATTGTGTACCAGAAGAGTAAAGAGAGAAAAGTAGCAAAAAGTCTATTCATATATTTTTTTAAAGAACATTGTTTTATTCACTTATTAGTAAAAACGTAAAACTGGATAGTAAAAGTATGACCGTTCGATATTAGAGAATGCCGTTTTAATTTGGAGGCCCTACCACCGAAAACACTTCTTTAAACCTAAGCCTGAATATAGCTCTCGCTGTCAGTTGATCAACCTAATGACACTGCACAACAGACAAATACTTTTATCAACCTCTTTTCTATTTGAAATAAGCTCCGGCTCTATGATAGTAGTCTAGTACTGTTAGGTAAAATTAATTTCAGTGTTCCATGTAGAATGTTGCGTCATTATGATGTGTTTTATGTTGTCACCAGCAAGACCGTATATAGATTTAATGCCCGGTTAATAGAACTCTCGTTGAATTGAATAAGATCTTTGTTTCTTTGGACCTTGACCTCTTATCCACCAAATTTGGCTTAAATTCCCAAGTAAAACCTTTATTAACTGGTCTTTGTACTGTATTGTAATTAACATAGTTGCCAACTTGGTGCTTTAAGCACTAGATTTAGCGCTAAAATTTAATTTCTGAATTTACAAGAATCTACGAATTTAAATGCACTAAAATGCAAACCATGATTGATAAAAAGATGAAGTTGCAAACCCACGCTCTTGCGTTCTTGTTAAATTGTATTCGCGTTGAAAATGCTAGCACGCAGATAAGTTAAGTATTTATTTTTTTATTTTCTTGATTATTGATTGATTACACAGTTCGAAAAATTTTAACTTTTTTTGCCACCCGAGTTCATCGGTTTTTGTAGATTTTTCGGTGCTGAATCCAAATCTGGCTGGAATTTCTCTACTACGTCAGAATTTTGAGATATTCTAACCGCTAAGCATGGGCGTAGCCAGGTAGGGGCGGGGTGTGCTCGAGCCCCCCCCCAAAAACTTTTAAATTTTCCTTACATATATACAAAATAGTACCCTGAAATGCCAGCTTAATAGGGTCGACCCCCCCGCCCCCCCTAAATTTCATTCTGGCTACGCCGATGCCGCTAAGTATAAAAACACGGTTAATTATAAAACAACAAATTTGTTCGCTCATTTATACTTAGGCTATCATTAAGTATTACCATGATAAAAATATAGTAAGGTAGAACCGCTGAGTCACTTTTGAAATTCTTGACGTTTCCAAACAATTTAATGTTTAAATTTACTCACAAACTCACACACACATTTTCATTTTCAATCTCAAGCAACAACAATTTCGAACAATTTCAATTTTTTATTTTCACTTTTATATGATTTTAAAATGTTGGCAAACTTCAAAAAAAAATCATGGCCGACAAATTGAGAGAACGGTTCTACCTTGCTATGTTTTTATCATGAGTATTACTCTTCCCCTTCAAAATTCAATTTCGTTTGTTGCGATTGTTCTTTCTCCAGAGGTACCAGTTTTAATGTGCAGTACTTCGGTATTACTTCGTAAGCATGAATGTGTATTTATTTATACATGTAAATATTGTTTATTTTTTTACTTTTGTTTACCACAAGCTGTTATTAAAAAAAAGTATCATTTGATTTAAAAAAAATTAGTGCTTTTAGTGCGGTAAAGCGCTTTTTGGTGCTTTTTGAAACTCAAAAGTTGGCAACACTGGTAATTAATATTACTTTCAACTTTACCCATGCTTAGTATGTAAGTATGGTAAATTCATAGATAAAACGAAATAAATAAATAAATTATTATCCATATATTAGAATATTGTGTAAGTGCCAATCTATTATTGTTAAGGAGCAATTGCTTATTAGTCCAAGAAATACATTTTTAAGCAATTGCTTTTGCTAGTAATGAATTTTTGTTAGTAATTGCTTAATTTTTATTCATCTTTCGTTTTTTATTCAATGCTAGGGTATATGCAATCATTTTCATCTTATAGACTTTAGATTATTATATTTCATTGAAGATTATTAAGATCGCCAAACTATCACAAAGGTTTCTACTCAATACATTAATGAAATGTACCAAAGTTAAAATCAAAGTAGTTGAGTTTTACTACTGTGAGAGAATTTTTTCAATTTACTAAACAATAGTT